TAGGCATATGGCGATTTCTAACGTATTTACATAGCTGGTGTGTGCGTCGTATGTCAGTGTGTGCGTGGTACTCTTACGTTGCGGGTAGATTGAAATTTTCGATCGGAAAATCACTCCCAACACTTAGCTCCAATGAACGGTATTGGCTAGGGTATAGAATACCCGTATTAGACACTCCGTCGACGCCTGGTCGGGCTACTCCCAACATAACAGTATCAGTGCTCTTTGAGTGTACCGCTACCCGGGGCGTTGGTACAGGGGGGAGGAGGTCAGGGGGTTAATTAGAAACGCATTAGGGGGTGGTTCCTTATTTAAAAAAATATTCTGGACCCCAGACCCCCCTTTCGCTAAAGTCGCTCGCAAGTGTTTTGGGAGGTTTCATGCGTTAGACCACCCCCCCCCCTTGGATAGCAAATACCTGCTTCCGCCCTGGCAGTACACGATATAAAACACAGATACTTTATATGGCGGTTAACGGGATTTACTATGGATATTTACGCTCTTTTTGTGCACCTAACCATGCCAAATAATAAGTGCCGGTAATGCAAGTGATGGTTCATTCACTTGCTTTGAGTGAGCATTGATTTAATAATTTGCATTTATAATGCCATGCTGATAAGTTCGTAGCGTATACAGTTATGAATGAGTAGACGATTCCTATGTAATGGGGCTTCGCCAAGGATAAAGATGATATGACATGGATAAACGATATTATTATAGTCTACAGGTGACCTTGACACAAACCTCCATTGTATACTGGTTGCACTGTACTTACATATATTATATGTGCGATACTCAGCACCAATTTGAACAAAACAATCAACAGGGTAAAGTGAACGCGTGCAGATTACCCAATTGCAGGGTAAACAGAACTATAAACACGGACCGCCCAGACCACAACCTTTAGGCTTAGCCCTTAGTCGCTTAGCTTTTATTCCATGTATTCTCTTTCTTCTAGTCAAACGTGATCATATCAGCTAATCAGCGGTTGTGCGCGGGCATGACATACATACACCGAAGTACACTGTACATGGTGTACGGATTGTATGCGATGCGCGTTACCTTTGAAAAGAAAAGGCCATCGGTGCTGTGGGTGTCTTTAGCTGCTGATCTTTGGAAGTGCATGTATTCACGCCAGGATACCATAGCAAGTTTCCTGACCTCAACGAAAGCTGGAAGCCAAAAACGCAGACCTTTTCGTTGTCTTCCAATTTCACACACAACGCACACACGTGCATGCGAAACAAACTGCACAGATCGGACAGATCTCATCGACAAAGTCAATACTCGACGGATGAATGGTGGAAGGCGAGAAAGGAGTGAAGATAATATGATAGGGTATATGTATTTTTTCTCGCGCGAAGCGAGCCAGAATGTGGCGTCAAACACGGCTGTGAGGCTCGAGGATGTAACAGTGCTGCAGCACTCAGACGAGTTGAAACTCTCGTAAACGTGCTGTGCTGTACCGGCTACAATACAGACGAACGTTTACGCACTCCAACCACTACATCGCCTTACCTGTACGGGGGGCACGCGGCAATTAAACGGCTCATGCTACTCGGGCGTAGTAGGCGAAGAGGTCGGGCTGGAGGTACGGAATCTTTGCGGAAATCATCGATTTATCAGTATCGGAACGTGATTTGGTGACAGGATATGCGGAGGCGGAGGAGTAGTGTGGATACGATAAGGAATATTGGCTCTGTATGCCAACAGACCATGCTGACTTTCGTTTCTACCGTTGCACGTGAACGTGCGAACAGTATGCAAGAACACACAGGGACAGGAACAAGGCGAAAACTTTCGAGACAGGTTAGCCGATGTGATCGCCGCAACGACGAAGGAGGAAGGATATCTTGCTTGAAACGCTAGTCAGTTATCACATGCACGCGCAAGGCAGGAAACATGACGGGCATGGAGATGCGGCGGAAGCCCGGTTAATACGTTCCTCAGATACGGATGTACTGAGTATTTGGCAGGTACCGGGGTATGTCGCGCTGACGCGTGTCAGGGCCTCTTCTAGTGCGTCGACGCGCTAATTTCCGGGGTTGCAATATTTATTTTTCGGCTTTTCGCGATCGGAATGCAGATTATTAACTGCTGCTATCCATAGATACGTCTTATGTGGCAAAGTTAACACGAACGTCAACTTGTCGAACGAGATAGCTCCTCTCAGAAGTGATGTAACGGTTCTGCGGGCGTGCCCGCGCACTATGACTGCGTGGTGAGCTGAGAAGAGAGGAGATAGATAAGGTTGTGAATATCTTTGTGCGCACTTGCCACAATTGTTTGCGGAGTTGGTGTTGTGAATTTCACGTATGGACTTCGGGTTAGATGTAGTCACTTATTTTCGGGAAAGCATGATGGGGAACTTGGACGCGGCCGCGCGCTATTCGGTAAGAACATTACTAATTCAAGTGATACTGTAAGTAGCGTGGACGCACGCGGCTAAGCACGAGGCACACTACCGTTATGGTGGCGTGTCGCTGCCGCCAGGAGTGACGTCGATCATTTCTTATGGGGTGCGCAGATGATGATAATACGTAGTCTGGTCACTCATGTTATCGCAATTGGACTGCTGTTTGTTGTAGATCGAGTACGCCGTGAATTCGTTCATATAAGATGCATAACATGCTTTTTTTCTCTTGATTCCAGCCTTATAATTTTAGTTTCAAATGATTAAAAAATGGTCAATTAATTAACGTGTGCTATAGAATAAATATATTTTACTCACCGTAGCGTATACATTCTACAGTGAAATCATAATTATTATATAACGTTTATCAGGAGTAAATAATAACATTTTTGTTCTTTATTAACTCTTGAGTATTATAATAGTCTGCCTAATTAATTAAGAGTCACTGTAAAAGGTTACGTTCTAATCGGTGAGTGGAACTGTGATGAGCTCGTGTACTGTCTAAAATATATTAACTATATGATTTCATTATTAATATATTGTAAATATCCGATGTGTCTGGGATCATGTGAAGTTCGGCGTTAACGATTTAATTAATAGAGGTAGCAGCGTCGTACTTTTGGACTGCTCGGCAGTAAGATACTGCGTGCATATTTGCTAATGTGCTGTGTGCTATCTTGAAAACAAGGAGGCGCCTGCGTCGCGATGCTCACTTTAGGAGCGTCAGTTTCAAGGCGCGAGCAGTGCGGTGCGCTGGCTAGATGCATAGTTATGGGCACCAATAATAATTCCTTTATGCTCCTTGATATAATGCAAGTTATAACCAAATTATATTCTGTGCGTGATACGAATGTTTTAATATTATAACTTAAATTGTTAATGGACCTGCCCATGTGTATATACTTTTGGCATTGCAGCTGACATACATTGAATTGTAATTTAGACATTGGTTACTGACGAACTCGTGAAAAGCATTGTATTTTTCTTTTTTGATTTCACATTGTGTTTTGGCGACGTTTACATGCAATTCTATTATATTGCTGCTTCATACATTCCGCTGCTATTTACTTCCAGTTGCAGTCGATTAACACATTTGCCATAATGACGTCTTACTTCGAGTAAACTGCGCTCGCCCGCGCCCCGGTATTATTCTCACTTTCTCTTCTCTCATCTCTCTCTCTCCCTCTCTTCTCATCTTTCTCTCTCTCTTTCTTATCTCTTTTCTCTCGCTCACGACGCGCTCTCTTTCCGCTATCTCGGTTATTTCTCTCTCTGTGTTCTTTCTTTTTATTATGCATTCACATTTTTTTGTTTGTTTCATACTTGTATTTCTTACCCCGCGTTCCCATGTTCCTCTGTAGCGTGTGCACAACATCACGCCCTGTCTGGTTGCCTCTCGGCTTGCATCAGTGATTCCGCATTATTACTGTGTGCTGCTGACTGATGTTGCCTGTGACGGGGACGGAACACGGACAGAGAAGTAACGGCGAACAAACGGGTTCTTAGCGACAATATACCCGGACAATCACCCCCCTCGCGACATATCCCCCGGACATCTACCGTCCCTCGGCACAATTCTACCCCTGGACAATTACCCCCCGGAGCATTACCCCCATTGCCATTTTTACCCCATGGCCCTTTACCCCCGACAATTACCCCCCGGAATTTACCCGCGGACAATTACCCGGACATTTACCCCCCGTGAGACAATTACCCGGACATTTACGCCCGGACAATTTACCCGCCGGACATTTAACCCCCCGGACAATTCCCCGGGACATTTACCCGCGGACAATTACCCCTGGACATTTACCCCCCGGGCATTTTACCCCGGGACTATTCACCCGTGCTGTGGTTGTGTGGTGGTGTGGTGCTGCTGTGTGTGTGGTGCCGGGTTGCGTGCGTTTTCACGCCCCACTGCGGCCCCAGCTCCCGTCCCGCCCAGGAGCAGCACCGCCCCCCAGACCCGCGATTCGGACAACTCGATTCCGGTTGACAATTACATCCCCGCCTGGAGTGCTTAGGGCTGGCCCCGGCATTTTACCTCCGCCGAACAATTACCCCCGGCATTTTACCCTTCCGCGACAATTACCCAGAACATTTACCCGTCTGACGCATAATTGGTGTCGGTTGACCCGCCGGAAGCATTTACCTCGGACAATTACCCTGGATCAGTTTAACCCACCGGACATTTTAGGTTCGTGGACGATTTATTGACTGCTCGGCCCTCGCGGACTTATGTGTTGGTCACTTTTTGGTGTTTATTATTCATTGTAAAGTTATACAGGCAGGAGGGTCTGAGGGAGGAGGGAAGAGGCTGCGTGGAGGAGGAATGAGTGGGACGAGGTGGGGAGAACGTCGGTGCTGTGGGGTATTGGAGTGTGGCAGTGCGAGTCGCGAGAGGTTTGGGAGTACTGAAGAAGAGGAGGGGGAGAAGGTGCGAGGAGGAGGAGGGGGAGGAGAGCCGATGGAGAGGAGGTAAGAGTGAATTTTTTTGGATGACGGATGAAGGTGAGGCAGGAGGGGGAAACGTGGTGAGAAGTGTGCGGGCGGGTGATCTGTGGCGGGACTGATGGAGGGGGTAGAAGCGTTGTGAGGACGGAGGAGAAGGGGGAGTAGGTGGAGGAGAGGAGTGAGGAGGACGGGGAGGAGGAGAGGAGGAGGGAAGTGGAGGAGGAGGAGGAGGAGGAGGAGCAGGAGCGGGTGGAGGAGGGGAGGAGCGAGAACGTGGGGAGTTAGGGTGGGTGGAGGGGCAGGGGAGAGGTAGAGGAGCGCCAGGAGGTGGGGAGAGGCATGGATGGAGGAGGAGGAGAGGAAGGAGGAGTGTAGAGGACCAGGAGCAAGGTTTAGAGGATGAGGAGAAGGTGCGTTGGAGGGCGAGCCGAGGGAGGATTAAGAGGAGGAAGAAGAGGTGGGAGGAGTGAGGCCAGGAGGAGGAGGAGAAGACGGATTAGTGGAGGAGGTGAGAAGGGGAGGAGTTTAGCGAGGGGAGGCCAGGTGGTGGGAGGGCGGAGAAGGTTGTGGGTTGTGAGGAGGAGGACAGAGGGGAGGAGGAGGAGAGGGGTGAGGTGGGAAGGAGGAGAAGGAGAGGAGAGGAGGATGTGAGTTGGAGGAGGAGGGAGAGGGAAGATGTGAGAAGAGGAAGGGGGACGTGGGGAGAAGGTGGCGAAGATAGGAGGGGAGGAGCTGAGAGAGGGGTGGTGGGAGGAGGAGGAGGAGATGAGGTGGAGGAAGGGAGAGGAGAGGATGGTAGGAGAGAGGTGGGGGAGGGGAGGCAAGTAGGGAGGCGCTCTACCTCTCTACTCATTCACGTCTTCCGTGCCTCCTCCTTCCTCCCTTCCTCTCCTCCTACCTGCCATTACTCTCTCTCCTCACCACCTTCTCCTCCTCGCTCTTCCACCTGGACCTCGCTACCTTCTTCTTCCTCCTCCTCCTCCAATTACTCCCCCTCCTTCCTGTCAGTCCACCTTCTCTCCATGTCTCCACCTCCTCTCCTGTCATTCTTCTCATCCTTCCTATCCTCTCCATATCCTCCTCCTCCCTCTCTCCTCCCTCTTCTCCTCTGACCTTCTCCTCCCCCTCGTCCTCCTTCTCCACTTCTCGCCTTCCCTCGCTCCGTGCACCACGTTTCCCACATTCTCCTTTCTCGCTGCCCTCCAACCTCTCTCACTCCTCCTCCTCCAACTCCTCTGCCTCCTCTCCACCACCTTCTGCTTAACCTTCTCCCCGTCCTCCTCCACCACCTGCTCCCTCCTCCCTCGAACTCCTGCCTGTATCACTGCTTCAACAATGAAGTAATAAACACCAATTCGTGAGTAAATGTCGGGCGGGTAATTGTCGGGGGAATAAATGTGCCGGGGGTAATTGTCGGGGGGGTGATTTGCCGGGGGCTTAAAATCGTCCGGGGTGTGGGTATATTGCCCGGGGGGTAAATGTCGGGGTGCGTAATTGTCCGGGGCGGTTAATGTCGGGGAGTAATTGTACGGGGGTGGTAAGTATGTCGGGTCGGGTAATTGTCTCGGGCGGGATAAATGTGCCGGGGGGTAATGATGTCCGGGGGGTGATTGTTCCGGGGGGTTACAATGTCTCGGGGGGGTGATTGTCCGGGTCCGGTAAATGTCCGGGGGTAAATGTCGGGGCCATGGCCGACGGTAATATTGTCGTGGGGAGGTGAAATTTGGTCCGGGGAGGTGGGGGGGGTAAATGGCATGGGGGGTAATTGTCCGGGTGGTAATTGTCCGGGGGTAATTGTCCGGGGGGTGATTGTCCGGGGGGTATTTGTCTTGACACCGGAAAAACACCATCAACGCACATATATCATGATACAGGTATCACGTACTTGTCCTTTACAACTAGGATATATCCCCCGTTCGCTTGCGTATGTTTTCAGAAAATTATTGTTTTCGCCGAATATCTGATATAGCCCTTTTGAGGATTTGGGGTTTCATTGGATTTTCATGACGTATGTGAGTAATAATCAATCCCCTTGACCACAAACCGCACAATATACATTAACGATCATTCAATCGTCTGAATAACTAGACTCTGTCGTTTCCTTCCATGCATGTACCCCTATCGTAGAGTTGTTGTTTTTTTGCTTCGATCTATCCAGTTTTCTACGTGACGTTCGTGTGCAGCCTTAATGTCGAATTTTTTTAATAGCTTTTGGTGACTTTTATTGGTGAGAACGAATGGTCGTCGACCAATGACAGTGTATGGAATCATGGAACCACGCATGAACCAACGTGTAGTAGGATAATATCAATTATCAAAAGTAGACATAACGGAGTACATAACACTCACATTATGTACTCTTGATAATATGTTACTGGCAGATCAATACGGTATCTTTTTGTACTGATAACTGATCATTGCCCTTTTGATCCCAATGATCAGATTACTAAAAAACAGTATTCGCCATTTTTCGTTGTTTACGGAGTGCATGTAAGAACCAGCTGCGGTAGATGGCATATTAACTCCGGACCTGGACGCCACCACATCAATACTTCTTAGGGAGAGAAGTGGAGTCACACTGGAGGCATTATTTGGTAACAATGATAAATATTTTTTTACATTCCTCGTGGATTATATGTTGGACTATTATTTGTGCGTTTGACGTCGATATTTTTACAGCTCCTGATAGTTTTGCTTGTCACAGCTGGATTAAATCGCTGAGATTTAGGTCAGCATAACGTATATAAGAGCAGGAGTAGAATAACAAACGATCCCATATAGTCCGGCAGATATATATGTGAAAACTTTTTGCTTTTTTGGATAAAACGCATATTATATATTATTAGTCCAGCAGATATATTGGCAGAATTGTGCTTTTTTGGATATAAGCATGCAATTTGGCACACAGTTAGAACATGTCCTTAGAAATATTTTTGGCTATAGGGGCATCGCAGATTTGTCCTACAGTGACCTTGGTGGCCATTTTACAAAATGGTGGCAAAAATGATCATTTCCACTTAAAAGTTTACGTATATCACCCAAGAAGAAAGCAAAACATAGACTAGTGAATTTATTATCAACTATTATTCACGTGTGCGGTATAATATATGTCATATAGTGGCCTTAATTAAATCGGCTTACAGTATGGCGGCCTTCTTGTATTTTTTAAATGACCTTAAAAATCAATAAGTATACCAATATCTCGGTTTAAAATTCACTAAGGCTCTAAAACTTGATGTCTATACATACATTTTTTAAATATTTATTATTAATACATATATATAACAGGCCCGTAGCCAGGGGGGGTTCGGGGGGTTCGAACGAACCCTCCCCCCCCCAAGCCCCCCCCAGCAAAATTTTTTTTTAATTTTTAAGAATTTCACCTCAGGTCGCTCCATTTTAGTGTAATAATTGCAAAATCTCCATTGTGCGGGAGGGTGAACAGTGGACACCCCCCTCCCACACCCTCCCCTCGCTCGGTCGCTGCTCCTTCGCCTGGTCGCTTCGCGCCGCGCAGGGGCCGTGTAAGGGGGGGGGGGTCCAGGGAGTCCAGACCCCCCCTATCGCGTCGCCCGCAACTTTGGGTTACGGTTAGACCCCCCCGGTACATACATTCCGTGTACACGGCCCTGTCCGAGCAATTGCCCAACAATTGAAACACGAACCCCCCCCCCCATTATTAAGCTGTGGTACTGGCTGTATTCGAGTGAGCATACATTTGTAATATAGAACAAAATGTATACAATGTATGTAATATGAAATAAGCTTTAATTTTGTTACCTTTTAATTGCCATAATAAACTGAATGTTTCTAATAAAAAACTAATGTTTCTAAGGGTATGCCCTATAACCAATTGCTCTATTTCCATGTTTTTAATGCTCAAAGACATTTATCACATTATATCGCGGCGACTCGCTCAAATTGTTGGCCGCCATGCATTATGCTGCATATTAGCGTTCAAATGTTGCCTAACTGCGCAAGTTTCTGGATTTTCATTGAATGAGATAATTTTACTCATTGTAACTTCAGAAAAAACACATTACCCATAAGTTCTTATGCAGTATACTTACTGTAAACTAAAGTTAAATTTACTTACTGTAAACTTAATTACTATAGGCTAACACAGGCCTGGTCCATAATCCTGCATATATACAATTCCTTAGAGTAAATGTTGTTGTTCTAAATTCACATTGTTTGTTTGACTACTTAGAAATTGTATATATTGTATACATTTTGTTCCTATGAAAAAAAAAAATATATATATATATATGAAATAGGCATCACGTTTTAGAGCCTAAGTGGATTGGAAACCGATATCTATTGGTACTATAGGTTTTTACGTTGTGGCCATCTTAAAATCCAAGATGGCCGCCATAATGTGAGCCGACTCATGCAGGGGTTAATACAAAACATTGTATGCCATATATACTACCGCACACATGAATAATATCTGATAGTAAATTCAATAGACTGTGTTTTGCTTCCTTCTTGGGTGATATACGTAAACGTTTAAGTGGAAATAATTATTTTTTGCCGCCATTTTGTAAAATGGCCGCCAAGGTCATCGTAGGACAAATCTGCGATGCCCCTATAGCCAAAAATTTCTCCAAGGACATGTTCTAACTGTGTGCCAAATTGCATGCTTATATCCAAAATAGCACAATTCTGCCAATATATTGCACATATATCTGCTGGACTAATAATATATTAAACAGTTTAAAAATAGGTCAAGTAGAAATTATCACATCGTATCGTTGATTTTACACCAAATTAACGCATCAAATCTGCAACGTGATACTACAATTTCGCGATGTCAAACGGTTTCCAGAGCTTGGCTTTGAATATCACCTGCCATCATCGTCAGCGCTCTACTCGCTTTATGCTAGTGGCAGCGACGGTGGCCAGTCGGGCGATTGATGGGAAGTTAGCATCGGGTTCCCCCCCGGACACAAGTTATCGACTTCGCAACTTATTATCCGGAACCAAGCAACGGAAACGGCATGATATCCGGGCGTTAGGGTGTGGGTGAATTCGATATATACTGTCCATATGATATTATACAATAAAATATATCTTACCTACGATAGTTCTCTGCCTCCATGCCTGCATAAGTTGTTTTTGTAGATGTAGGCCTAGTTTTATCTTCCTATCTCGGCATTCCTCTTTGCTTCGCACCATTTTCCCTCATTCCTTTGCTCGTCCTCGCTCTGTTTGTTACCCGGTCTCATCAGTTACCCCCAATGACGTACTTTTCCCTATCCTCAATTGTAACCTGCCGCTAAGCGTCCGATGGTACCGTGCCCAATTTATAAAACATCGTAATAAAATTCGGCGAATACAATAATCATTCAGATTTGTATTGATACCAGGGCGATGACGCCTCCAACATAATAACCAGTGGTGCAAGAACAGGTACGAACCCATATACAAATAAATAATTATTAACCGTAATTTTGTTATTACATCGTAAACAAATGGTATATTCTGTAATATTCAATATTCATGCCGCGTCCATTTAATATAGATGCTTACTATATAAAAACTTTATCGGGTGACGATATATCGTTTGTAGATTTACTTGCCGTGTCTCCGTAGTTGCCGTGTACCCGTAATTTCCGTGCCCCATAGTTACCCTGTCCCCGTAGTTGCCGTGTCTTCGTAGTTCCCATTACCGCGTATTTGCCGTGTCCCCGAAGTTGTCGTGTTCCCGCAGTTGCCGGGTCCCCCTAACTATACTGTGAGCAAGGTTGCCATGTCTCCGTAGTTGCCGTGTACTCGTAGTTGTTGTGTCTCCTTACTTGCCGTGTTTCTGTAGTTGCCGTGTCAACTTAGTTGCCATATCCCCGTAGTTGTCGTGTTGTCGAAGTTGCCGTGTCTTCGTAGTTGTTGTGTCCCCGCAGCTATCCTTCTGTAATAATCACAAGGATTATTCCCGTCGTGAGCAGGCCAACAGGAAGATATCGTGCTCTGTGCAAACCTGACAGGAGTGTGGTACAACCAGCACGGATCTGAGATGATTATATGTCACGGAGTCGACGGTAGCTTGGTGGGAAAATACCTTACCGAAGTGGAAGTCGAAAGTGGAGCAGCGGGTACACATAAATTATACACGCAATGGCGATCGCGAATGCAGGAGGCGATTCAGAGACAATTGAACGCGTAATTGGATCCCGGTTTAGCCATCTTCGCGTGAATACTCGAGAGTTTAAACTGCTATATAGTTTCCATTAAACAGTTGTACGATGCATGAGGGATGCGATCGAATTTTCCAGGCGCAGGTAACCTTGGTACTGGAAAGGTGCGGTCGATCGACTTCTTACGTCTCCACGTATTTCGCCACTGAATGTCAGCCGACTCATGAACTGTCTTGCATCTGTATCTCAGCGGTTGATCGTCTACCCTTATATTCACACACGTAGGAACCGGCTACTCTTTGATATACGGCGCCGCGGCGGCCGTAGGGAACCACGTCGGAGCGTTTGGCTTCACCGTCGTGTGGAGCAACGGCGAGTCGGCGACAACCTGGAGCGGTCAATGTGTCCACTGTAGCGGATGCATTGGCAGCAGCGCTCTCGCCAACAACGACACCTTGGCCAATGAGTACATGGTCACCACGTGGCTGCTAACCAGCATGACGACGCCGGAAAATCTGTGGAGCGCAACTAGGTTAGTGAAAAATCACACCTGCATGCAGGCTGCCTCGCACTTCATATCCTGGACAGTGTTATCAGAGCAATCGCGTAGCAATATTATTTAATAATTAATCTTAGATAATAATATTATATTTATATAATTATTAAATAATAATACTTTAACGTATCAATTTTTTCCGGACGCTGTATTCAGTTGTTCGCCAAAACTACCGGACACGATAGAGGATTAATGTAATAGAGCCACTGCATGCATGTTATTCGCCTAGCTGTTATCTATACACCCAACAAGAACGTATGCATATCTGATGATCCGATGAATAAATTAACACATCGTGTATCACATCTGAGTCGTTATGCTGAGAGTTTAACGGCTATATGCATTACTTATTCCCCAGAATCGGGCATAATTTCTACATTCGATTAACGAGTCAGAACAAGCCCATACCAAACCTCGGTCAACACACGCCACCAAGACGCGACGGAGCGCAGGAACGCATACCGTTCATAGTGCTTTTGTGTGCTTTTGCTATCCTAACATTATTCACCAGTAGACAATTCAGTACGTAATTTCAATAAGCAACTGTGTATGTGATAATATTGGTCGATGACAACCTACAACCAGCGCACAAAGGTTCCAAATTGTGTTTTTTCTGTTACGATATTAATATTCCATTCAATAATAAACTCTGGACATATGTTAATACATTAATCGAAAATCTGTAACTTTCGCATAAATGTACGAGAAAAGTGTTTTATGAAATACTATTTTAACGTCACAATTCGATAATTTATACATCAGTTCTCATTACTCGTAATA